TTTCATATCAAATTTTGTCAGTATGTCTGTGACATTTCATAAAATGGATGCCGATTCCCTAACCCCTCTTCTGTTCAATAAAACGGAGGTTTGTGTCAGAGTAACAGTATCATCCCGAGGGGAATACATTTACCCGAGGTATTGCTAACATTAGTTTCTACGCGATGATATTTCTGCTGTTCCTCACAAACCTATATGTTATTTATTTTATTACCTCGTTAGGACACTCTTTCTATATGCTTGCTATTTTATCTTAACAATACACTTGAAAGTATGGATTACCTAAACCATACCTTAAACAATGTGCATTGAAATATAATCCTTTCTTATAATTACATTTCAGTTCTCCATTCTTTAAGAAATGATTACATTTCAATGCCAATTGTTTAAGATTTCAATGCCCATTGTTTAAGACGATTGGATAATCATAAATATAGATTAATCCTGTTACGATTTTCAATACAACCATTATTTCGGGTGATTATGATTATCTCGGATTAGGATTAAATGACGTATAGTTTAAGATTTCAATGCCCATTGTTTAAGATTTTAATGCCCATTGTTTAAGATGATTGAATAATCATAAGTAGAGATTAATCCTGTTTAGTTTTTTCAATAAAACCATTGTTTCGGGGATTAGGATTATCTAGGATTAGGATTAAATGACGTCATAATTAATCCCTGATCCAAAACGGCACGATCCAAAACGGCGCACCATCATAAATCATATACTAGTCAATAAATATTTTGACAAAACGGCGCCAATCCGTAAGCAGCGCAATGTAAACAACTCGTGCATTCATAAACAAGCTGACGTTATTTCATACATACAAGAATGATAAATGGGGCACTGATGTAAACACAATACGACGTAAGTTTTTATTGTTGAAAACTTGATAAAATAACGCTTTTTTTTTCTTATTATTTCTTTTGTTTAATAATTTCTATATCTTCGCAACAGTAGGGTGCGAAAATCGAACAGCGTTATACGAAAATCGGCACCGGAAGTTATTTCCGCTTGAAAAATAACAATAAGGATTTTCCATATTTTATCGTGTTAGAATCGAAATAACATTAAATTTATATTTATGAAACTAAATGTTTAAGAAATAACATCGGCCTGAGAGGTGTATATCGGCTATTTAACACCGGTTTGGAGTTTTGATGCGTAGGAATTGACCACGAAGGCCGTAGGCCCGAGTGGTTAATTTTTTCGCATCAAAACGACAAAACCGATATACACCTCTCGGGCCGATGTTATTTCGATTCTATCACAATGAAAATAAGGAAGATCACTAATGTTATTTTTTCAAGCGGAAATAACTTCCGGTGCCGATTTTCGTATAACGCTGTTCGATTTTCGCACCCTACTGTTGCAAAGATATAGAAATTATTAAACAAAATAAATAATGAGAGGAAAAAACGTTATTTTATCAAGTTTTCAACAATAAAAACTTACGCCGTATTGTGTTTACATCAGTGCCCCATTTATCATTCTTGTATGTATGAAATAACGTCAGCGTGTTTATGAATGAGTTGTTTACTTACGACGACGTCATTACGCTGCTTACGGATTGGCGCCGTTTTGTCAAAATATTTATTAACTGATATGGATCAAATATGTGGCGTTATTGCATATGTTACTATAATTAGTAACAAAAATGCGTTTCTTTTTTTTGAATATGCCATGCGAATATCCCGTATTTGAGCAAGTGTGCCAATATGCCATATTGGCGCACTTGCCAAGTGTGCCAAAATCCCATATTGAGGCTATTTCCGGTCATCACGCACCTGTTGTCCAGTAACGGCAGAACGTCAGCGCGTATATACACGTTACGTAATTGACAACCGCATTGCAAAAAAAAAAATGGCCGTAGAAAGGACGTTGCAATCTTTGGCGAATCGCTTGATGGATTTAGATAATATAATCGAACAACAAGGGCAGCCAGCTGACACTTTTGCTTTTGTTGAAAGTATGAAAAACGATAATACAAAAAAGAAAACCAAAAGTGATATGAACAGACTGAATACTTGGTTTCAAACTGAAGGAGAAGAACGAGATATTTTAGAAATTCCTATCACTGAGCTAAATATGTTGCTTGCAAGGTTTTTATGAACTTGAGAAAGGTAGATGGCTCCGAGTACGAGCCAGACAGTATGGGGAGCATTCTCGCCAGTGTCAACAGATATCTAAAGGACCACGACTACGGAACAAACATCATGACCAGTGATACGTTTAAGCACACCCGTGATGTGGTTGCGACTAAAAGGAAAATATCCAAATCCCACGGAAAAGGCAACAAGAAAAATCGTGCAGATCCATTCACTGGTGAAGAGATTGCAATTTTGAAGCAAAAGGGGTTTCTTGGCAATGGTAAGTAAAGGTCCATAAGTTAAATAGACTATGTCTTAACATGCATCATTCTGAAAATGGCCCGTGTCATCTTTATAAAATCAGATCTAATAGCTCTTAGCCTACATGTTATATTTCTAATGTTCATAGAATGACATATCTGCAGTAGATCTAGATCCAGCTGTTACTCTAGTAATACTGTTTATAAATAAACTATCTACCTGGTCAATGATGAACAATCTGATGAAATCCACAACCACTAAATATCCTACATTATGATTAACACACAATAAAATCACTAAAATGTCTTGTTTACATTAATAGCCGTTCATGTACACTATACATAGACTACCACAGTAAAAGTGACGTCATGAAAACTGTGACGTATCGTTTGAATGTCAATCAATACAACTGTCAATCAGTCATTATTATCAATTTATTGTTGTCAGCATTGGCTATTCTAGAAATTCGTAAAAACCAGCATAAGTTCTTTCGATCTCAATATGAATAATGGCAGATATACAATAGCAGGGTAACTAATTTACTGCCTTCTATCGCATAATACTGTTATAAGATTTATCTTTATTTTTATCAACTTACAGAAACGCCTGAAGCTTTGTCTAACACTATCTGGCTGAACAACATTCTTCACTTTGGTTTACGTGGAAGACAGGAGCATCAAACAATGTTGTGGGGAGATGTAGAGCTACTTACAACTGCATCAGGGAGAGAATACTTAGCTTTTACAGAGAGACTGACTAAAACAAGAAACGGCATCGCTAGTGACCCAAGGGATTTTGTGCCCAAAATGTTCGCACAACCAGGTTTGTGAGTTTATTATGTATAAACCGATGGAATTGGTGTTTTACTTATACATTGTATATCGTATAAATGATATCAAAATCGTAAAAATCGTAATCTATATTAACAATCTTCTAAATAGACAGGACATACACAGCTCATGTTAAAACTTGAAAACTACTCAAAACAAATAAAATTTAATCTAAAATTTCGCAAACATGTTAACTATGTAAAAACTGTGTTTTATATTGATGGTATTGACTTAACTATCTTTGAATGTGCTTTGTAGGAGACAAGGACTGTCCAGTAGAAATGTACAAACGATATGCAGAAAAGCGCCCAGACAAGATGAAGACCCCTGACTCTAGGTTTTATGTTGGGTTGAATCCTAACTACAAGCCAGGAAGTGACATAAGCTGGTTCATGAATTCGGCGATGGGCAAAAAACAAGTTAGGAACAATTGCAAAAGTCATGTCAGAGAAAAGCCAAACTGCCTGGTAGACATACTAACCACAGTGGGAGGAAAACAACTGTTACAGAGCAACTAAGAAATGAAGTACCAGCAATTCATGTTGCCAAGTTGGTTGGACATAAAAATCTTAATGTCACTAAAACTCTTATAACACCATGTCTATAGAGCAACAGATAACAATGTCTGATAACGCACACGCATAAAACAAAGTATAACTGCATCAACATCTACCATTGCCAGAATGGAGGAGCAAGAAATGGCTGATACCGAGTTGGACACCGAGTTGTTAGCCGCATCTCAAGAAATCGAAGAAGCATTAAACAACATTGAACAATTTGAGAAAAGTTGTGAAAATAGTAGTGGCGCACAGGTTCTAAATCTCCCTATAGTTCATCATCCAGATGGAACATTAAGCACATGTATTCGGGATAAAGAAACATCTGGCAGAAAATTTGATCCAAGTCGAATGTTTGTAAATTGTACATTCAATGCTTCAGTACAATTTGTGCTTAAATAGAGACTGAAATTGGACATATTACATAGAAATCGAAAGAAGAAACTATATCTTTCTTTATTTTTATTTTCTGTGATTGCGCATGAAAGAGACGCTTACTTTGAATCAGTTATTTATTTATTTCACTATTATATTGTTTAATACATGAACTGTGGATTAACTATATATTTTATCTGCTTAAACATACATTGAAATATCTATTTTCAAGCAATTAATAAATATATTACAACAATAACATAATTGCTTGATTTTATTCAAGTCTGAAAAATTCCTGCGGAACATACGCAATAAACAGATCATTACATGGGGCAAGTGTGCCTTTAGTCCATATTGGCACACTTGGTTCGAATTTGCCCTCGGGCTAAAGCCCTCGGGCAAATAAGTCACCAAGTGTGCCAATATGGACTAAAGGCACACTTGCCCCATGTAATAACCTCTACTTATTGCATATGTTACTATAATTAGTAACAAAAATGCGTTTCTTTTTTTTGAATATGCCATGCGAATATCCCGTATTTGAGCAAGTGTGCCAATATGCCATATTGGCGCACTTGCCAAGTGTGCCAAAATCCCATATTGAGGCTATTTCCGGTCATCACGCACCTGTTGTCCAGTAACGGCAGAACGTCAGCGCGTATATACACGTTACGTAATTGACAACCGCATTGCAAAAAAAAAATGGCCGTAGAAAGGACGTTGCAATCTTTGGCGAATCGCTTGATGGATTTAGATAATATAATCGAACAACAAGGGCAGCCAGCTGACACTTTTGCTTTTGTTGAAAGTATGAAAAACGATAATACAAAAAAGAAAACCAAAAGTGATATGAACAGACTGAATACTTGGTTTCAAACTGAAGGAGAAGAACGAGATATTTTAGAAATTCCTATCACTGAGCTAAATATGTTGCTTGCAAGGTTTTTTATGAACTTGAGAAAGGTAGATGGCTCCGAGTACGAGCCAGACAGTATGGGGAGCATTCTCGCCAGTGTCAACAGATATCTAAAGGACCACGACTACGGAACAAACATCATGACCAGTGATACGTTTAAGCACACCCGTGATGTGGTTGCGACTAAAAGGAAAATATCCAAATCCCACGGAAAAGGCAACAAGAAAAATCGTGCAGATCCATTCACTGGTGAAGAGATTGCAATTTTGAAGCAAAAGGGGCTTCTTGGCAATGGTAAGTAAAGGTCCATAAGTTAAATAGACTATGTCTTAACATGCATCATTCTGAAAATGGCCCGTGTCATCTTTATAAAATCAGATCTAATAGCTCTTAGCCTACATGTTATATTTCTAATGTTCATAGAATGACATATCTGCAGTAGATCTAGATCCAGCTGTTATTCTAGTAATACTGTTTATAAATAAACTATCTACCTGGTCAATGATGAACAATCTGATGAAATCCACAACCACTAAATATCCTACATTATGATTAACACACAATAAAATCACTAAAATGTCTTGTTTACATTAATAGCCGTTCATGTACACTATACATAGACTACCACAGTAAAAGTGACGTCATGAAAACTGTGACGTATCGTTTGAATGTCAATCAATACAACTGTCAATCAGTCATTATTATCAATTTATTGTTGTCAGCATTGGCTATTCTAGAAATTCGTAAAAACCAGCATAAGTTCTTTCGATCTCAATATGAATAATGGCAGATATACAATAGCAGGGTAACTAATTTACTGCCTTCTATCGCATAATACTGTTATAAGATTTATCTTTATTTTTATCAACTTACAGAAACGCCTGAAGCTTTGTCTAACACTATCTGGCTGAACAACATTCTTCACTTTGGTTTACGTGGAAGACAGGAGCATCAAACAATGTTGTGGGAGATGTAGAGCTACTTACAACTGCATCAGGGAGAGAATACTTAGCTTTTACAGAGAGACTGACTAAAAACAAGAAACGGCATCGCTAGTGACCCAAGGGATTTTGTGCCCAAAATGTTCGCACAACCAGGTTTGTGAGTTTATTATGTATAACCGATGAAATTGGTGTTTTACTTATACATTGTATATCGTATAAATGATATCAAAATCGTAAAAATCGTAATCTATATTAACAATCTTCTAAATAGACAGGACATACACAGCTCATGTTAAAACTTGAAAACTACTCAAAACAAATAAAATTTAATCTAAAATTTCGCAAACATGTTAACTATGTAAAAACTGTGTTTTATATTGATGGTATTGACTTAACTATCTTTGAATGTGCTTTGTAGGAGACAAGGACTGTCCAGTAGAAATGTACAAACGATATGCAGAAAAGCGCCCAGACAAGATGAAGACCCCTGACTCTAGGTTTTATGTTGGGTTGAATCCTAACTACAAGCCAGGAAGTGACATAAGCTGGTTCATGAATTCGGCGATGGGCAAAAACAAGTTAGGAACAATTGCAAAAGTCATGTCAGAGAAAGCCAAACTGCCTGGTAGACATACTAACCACAGTGGGAGGAAAACAACTGTTACAGAGCAACTAAGAAATGAAGTACCAGCAATTCATGTTGCCAAGTTGGTTGGACATAAAAATCTAATGTCACTAAACTCTTATAACACCATGTCTATAGAGCAACAGATAACAATGTCTGATAACGCACACGCATTAAACAAAGTAACTGCATCAACATCTTCTACCATTGCCAGAATGGAGGAGCAAGAAATGGCTGATACCGAGTTGGACACCGAGTTGTTAGCCGCATCTCAAGAAATCGAAGAAGCATTAAACAACATTGAACAATTTGAGAAAAGTTGTGAAAATAGTAGTGGCGCACAGGTTCTAAATCTCCCTATAGTTCATCATCCAGATGGAACATTAAGCACATGTATTCGGGATAAAGAAACATCTGGCAGAAAATTTGATCCAAGTCGAATGTTTGTAAATTGTACATTCAATGCTTCAGTACAATTTGTGCTTAAATAGAGACTGAAATTGGACATATTACATAGAAATCGAAAGAAGAAACTATATCTTTCTTTATTTTTATTTTCTGTGATTGCGCATGAAAGAGACGCTTACTTTGAATCAGTTATTTATTTATTTCACTATTATATTGTTTAATACATGAACTGTGGATTAACTATATATTTTATCTGCTTAAACATACATTGAAATATCTATTTTCAAGCAATTAATAAATATATTATAACAATTACTTTATTGCTTGATTTTATTCCAGTCTGAAAAAATGCTGCGGAACATATGCAATAAACAGGTCATTACATTTGGCAAGTGTGCCTTTAGTCCATATTGGCACACTTGGTTCGAATTTGCCCTCGGGCTAAAGCCCTCGGGCAAATAAGTCACCAAGTGTGCCAATATGGACTAAAGGCACACTTGCCCCATGTAATAACCTCTACTTAGTGTATGTGAGATATTATTTCGGTATTGTATGAAAAAAAACGTTATAAGAACTAAAAAAATAAATAAAAATGCTTTTTATTGTTGCTTTAAAGGGCTTTGTAAACTATTTATTACATTTTTTGTAGTAGATTACTGAATTATAACGATTAATTATATTCTGATAATTTCACAGTAATGATTACCAAATATAATTTCACAGTAGCCGAACTATATTTGGCGTAAAAATAAAATATTTATCATTAATGAATGTTTTTTTCAGCGGAAATGTAGTCAATCAAAATAAAAAATGTACTTGATAACTGCAGTTCGTAAATATTTACGAACGTTGTGCTGAAAAACATCTAAAATCTAAAAATAATCATGGAATTATATTTTGCTTCAACATTGTGACGTCATTATTTGATGACGTCATGAAGATAAGAGCATGACGTTACGCGGCAAAAATCAGTAAAATGGTGTAAAAATCGTTAAAAAATCATGAAATAAACAGAAAATTTGTTTGTTTTACATGTACGATCAAATAATATTTCACTCGTGAACCCCAGCTATTATATTTTCACTCGTGGCTACGCCACTCGTGGAAAATATTGCATCTGGTGTTCACTCGGTGAAATATTTTTCGATCTTACACTGAAACAAACAAATATCCTCTATATAATCAAGGGTGAAAACATAAAAGCCGCATATACAAGTAGTCCCTTAAGGTGCCCTCACACATAAACCACGACCTTACTGCGACCTGAAAACTAGTAAAATAGCATTTTTCTTTCGAAAATCGTTGGTTTTCTTTCAAATTTCTCTCGCAGACGGTCCGGGGCTCTGCAGTCTTGTGTTCAGTACGTTTTCTCTATGTCCTCAATACGACCCTTCTACGTCCATGGCGTTTCCACTGCGACTGTATTGCGTCCCCAAGGCGACCCCACGGCGATCATCGGCGACCCAGCTGCGACTGTGCTTTGTTCTCTGCGTCCTTACGGCGACTCTACGACGACTATTGCGTTTGTCCGGCGACTGTACGACGACCCTACTACGTTCTTGCTACGTCTATAAATACAATACTTTTTACCAGTAAATTTCATTCTGAGTCTGACCTTACGGCGTCCTTAGTACGAGTGTACTACGTCTATTGCGTTCTTATTGCGTCCTTACTACGATGCTGCTGCGACTATAGCGACTCCACTGCGATCCCACGGCGACCTAACCACTACTCAGCAAGAACGCAGAGTTTCTGCGACTGTTTTGTGCATGTTCAAAATAGTCGCCGACGGTCTGCGACCTTGTGCGTCCTTGGGTTCCTCGCTACGACATCGCTGCGTCCCTGCTGCGTCCATGGCGACTGTGCTGCGTCCTGGGTCGTAGCAAGGTCGCAGTAAGGACGCAGTAAGGTCGCGAGGTATGTGTGAGGGCGGTATAACCAGTGTTAGTGCTCGCCAATTTTTTTAAGCCAATCACCGACGAGGATTTTTCAAATTTCCAGTTTTCAAATCTTAATAGAACATATTTTATATAAACTGGACGTTTTATATTATAAAACGCAAGTGGGCGGAGCGCTAATCCGGTTAGAGTGCATATATTGGATGTTCTTCGTAAATAAGAAAGCTACAGTCGCTTCGCAAGCTCCGTTCCTTTTTAGCTTTCTTATTTACGAAGAACACCCAATATGCACTCTAACCTATACTTTATTGGCAGTTTAACACCGGTTTTTTCCTTATTTGTCTATAGTGACAAAATCACGTGAGTGTTAAAATTAAGAAATTACATCGTCCTGAGAGGTGTATATCGGCTATTTAACACCGGCTATTTAGTATGAATTGACCACGAAGGCCGTAGGCCTGAGTGGTTAATTTTTTTCACATCAAAACGACAAAACCGGTGTTAAAAAGCCGATATACACCTCTCAGGACGATGTTATTTCAATTCTATCACGATAAAATAAGGAAGATCACTAATGTTATTTTTTCAAGCGGAAATAACTTCCGGTGCCGATTTTTGTATAACGCTGTTCGATTTTCGCACCCTACTTTTGCGAAGATATTGAAATTATTAAACAAAAGAAATAATAAGAAAAAAACGTTATTTTATCAAATTTTCAACAATTAAAACTTACGTCGTATTGTTACACCAGTGCCCCATTTATCATTCTTGTATGTATGAAATTACGTCAGCTTGTTTATGAATAAGTTGTTTACTTAGGATGACGTCATTACGCTGCTTACGGATTGGCGCCGTTTTGTTAAAATATTTATTAACTGACATGAATCAAATATGTGGCGTTAGTGTATGTGAAATATTTTTTCGCTATTGTATGAAGCGAAAACATTAAATTATAACAACTGAAAATAGAAATAAAATGCTTTTTATTGTTGCTTTAAAAGGCGTTGTAAACTATATAATCGAGGGTGAAAGCATAACAGCCGTATATACAAGTAGTCCCTAACCAGTGTTTATTGGTAGTTTAACACCGTTTTTTTCCCTTCTTTGTCTATAGTGACAAATTCACGTGAGTGTTAGAATTATACATAAAAGCAAAAGACGACGCATAAAAATGTTATTACACTAGTGTAATATCGTTTTTATTAAATAGAGGATATTGAATGAGTGTAGGTTTAATACTAAATTTATTGAACGAGTTGAATAAAATCATATTATGCGAGCCCGGGCTTTGGCTTGCCCGGCTATAGACTACACGTGAAAATCAAATAAAAAACAATTAAAAAATATATAGAATTCTATACCTATCGATGAAATTTTCAGTGTCAGTTCTAGCTAGGCGACACCATTTACAATGTAACTAAACAGCTCTGACTTTCCGCGAATGAATATTTTTTTATTTTCTACTTTTGCAATCTGTTTTTTTTTTTTTTTTTTCAATTTTGTTATTTAAGTCTGATGCTGATTTTTTAAAAAAAAAATTCAGTGTTCATGTAATTTACTTTTTTGTTCACATTTGTTACAATGTCACGAATGTGTTTTCTATTTTAATTAAAATCTGGGACCAAAAATATATTATTGTTCCAGTTAAAATATACAAACCAGGGTATGAATTTTTTACAACTAACGCAGAGATACTGGTAATATCTTTTTCGAGATTTATATACTATTTGATGCACTCTGGGCCATAGGGCCTAACTTGACTGTGTGCAAGATTTCAGATTATTAGCTCACTCCATTTTTCCAGTATAAGTGCAAAATGACCCAAAAATGAGAAGTGGTTAAATGCTTTTAACCCAAATCGGACAAAAATTACACAAAATCGCGGATTTATATAATTATTACATTGTAATTAAAATCCGTGACATCTAAATCAAATCTGAGTATATATATTCATCATATAATTATAAATGAAATATTGAGAAATATTAATGAAATAAAATGCTTATTTTCATTTTCGTATTTTCACTGTAAAAAGTATTTTAGTGAAACATATTTTCCATGTTTTCACTGGTGTCTTGCCGGACTACTTTCTTTTAAATTCTGCCAGTACACAAAATTTAAGGAATAGTCTTCCAAATTGTAATTTAGGATAGAGACAAATGTACATAATAAACAGAAAATTCAAGTTTTTTTTTCTATAAATACATGATTTATTTTCATCTTGTGGCATGAAAATTATCACATTTCACTCGTGACTACCGCCACTCATGAAATATTTATGTCATACCACTTGATGATAATAAATCCTGTATTTACAGAAAAAAACTTGAATATCCTCTATATATTTTTAACATCTTTTGCATATTTGTCCGTTTTAAATGTCCATGCAGTTTATCTATGTAAGAATGCATTTTTAAGTGTTTAGGGTTTAGGACCTCAGTGGAGCTCCTTTAATTAAATACCTTAACAAACTTATATATTATAAACCGTTTTTAACATTTAGGTCCCAGCTTCTTTCAATATTTCATTTTAATAACACTTCCAATTGTTTCGCGCCTTAATGCTCGACTGTTTCGCACATGTCACGTGATGGTGTGCCAACCATGTTAACTTTTTGGTCCTTCCGAATAATCCAGGCGAGGACCAATAGTTTTATAGCAAATTGAATCGTGTGACTAAAAAGAGATCAGAAAATGTTTTGCTGGCGTCGTTAACGGATTTGTGTAGTAAAGTTTTTTTTGTGAGAATCAATCAGTGGTTAAACACACAAGATTGTCCCCGAGCGCTCAAGATTCATGGTCGAGTGATTTTCCATACACTTTACTGTTAGAAGTTTGTGAGAGGGAAGTGACGGAAACGAAAGTGTGGGAGGTTTGGAATTGTTTCTTTTATTTTAGGACGTCGAAGAACTAAGTATCAATCAAAAATGTAAGTTATTTTATATTTTATTAAAACTATATAGCCGAAACGTAATATTATTACACATGAAAATCGGGAAAGCGTTACTGTTTTTTTTAGGAAAAAATGTAAATATTTCACAGAAAATCCGGGAAATGTTATTGTATCACATAAAATTTGTAAATTATCAAATATTTTTCGTAGGTACAATTTGTTTGACACAAAGTTAAATTTTCCATGAATATAAATTAGCGTTTATCATAAGAATTATACATGTTAAACTTTTAATTTTTCATGTGACGTTTCGATCATAGTTTGACGTTTCGATCATAGTTAACGGTATTGTTGACCATTATGATCATTATTCATATTTACTTACCACTGTAGCCATCTATACTAAGTTAAAGTGGTAGCAAAGGGCAGATTACTGGTTTCAGCAGTGTAGGAGTTATATATAAATCGTAATGCATAATTACGACAATGTTACAATATGTTGTGTGTGTTTTTTAACTGTGGCACTATATTATTTATTACTGTAAATAATTAGTTTTTAAAGGATGGTAATAACAATAATTTTATTTATTTCCTTCTATACTCAAAAGTCACATGTTGAAAAACCAGATAATACAATAGCTAACATATGATTTTTTAACAAAACATTGTCATAGATAATTGGCTTATGATATAAAACAAAATACAGATATGAATAATTGATAGTTGGCATATGAGGTCTAACAAGGTATTGACACGGATGATTGACGTGTGGTATGTAAAAATGATGGCCATGTTGATGACAATGTTGTTGTTTATGGTAATGTTGATGAAGACGTCCATGGGTGTTACAATGATGATGAAATGACGTTGTTCAAGGTAGTGAGCATCAGGTAAATCTAGTTATTTATAGAAACTAACTTTTTTAGAAACTAGTTATTTTTAGACAAATGAGTTTTAACTTTTCTTCGTAAGTTTTATCAGTTTCAGAAGATGAAATTTCAAAAGGAACCAATGAACTTGCAAGTAATCATACTATATCGGGCCATGCTTGTGGAACAAGGACAGCATACATTATTAAACGTAAAAACAGCATATTTATTTAATTCAATTTACATTTGGAAAATTTGACATTATAAGAAATTTGATATACATATATACATGTAAATGGTATTATGTCAGTAACTGAAATTGCGTAGAATTACACAATTTTATTTTAGAAATGAAGATTTTTTTTGGTCAAAATTGAAAACTATGTTTTATGTTTATGTTTATTGACGATATTTTCTTTGCATTGTTTATATCGATTTTGGTTGTTTTGGTTTCTTTCTCAAATTTTTGGAGTTGGTGTGTGATTGTGGTTATTCGATTTGGGTTCGGTGTTTTAGTTTGTCTCTTTGTGGGAGTTGTTTATGTGTGGTATGGTAGTTTTTCTTTGTCTTTTTTGGAGTTGTTAATGTCATTTGTGTGTTATGGTAGTTTTTCTTTGTCGAAATTCAGGCCTTATTTCTGAAGTGGTCGATAAGACAGTTGATTCTTTGCTGATACATTGTGATCGATTTGAAAAAGTTGGATTTTGTTATACTAGTCGAATTATTATTATTCATCATTTCAAATAGTTATATCAATATCATTAGAAATGGGAGACACATTTATAGTTATATTGAATTTTCAGCTGAACCATTCCCAATTTTGTATAAAATATTGATGTTTAATATGAGTTTTGATAATTATATTAATATATAGGTGGAGAATGCGGCAATGCATGTATATTAAAAATAACATTGATTCTTTTAGATTTAGAAAGTGCATGAAATTTCTAATAATGATATTTGGGTGTTGAATGCGACATTTTTAACAATTATATATACTGATTATTTTAGATGCAGAATGACCAGTATAATATTATTGTTCTTTGGTTTTTCGTTTGTTTTCAGATGGCGTAAGAAAACATCACTGGATTACGTACTTTTGAAAGACAAAACTAGATAATATTGTATATTTCTAAATATTACCACTATATTTTTCAGACTATTGTTCGATTGATGGTAAAATAAATGTTTATTACCTAAAGCAGGAAATGGCGGGAAGAATCCTAGCAGACGACAGTTGTCGCGCAGATGCAATCGTGCACCATATCAGACAGCCCTAATTTAAGTTACAGGCTGACCTAGCTCTATACTGGACTCGCTTTCAGCAGGTTAGGGTTTTGGAAAAAAAAATCATAACTTTGTAATGTAGCCTATGTCTTGTTTACTTTTTGAAAAATGAACTTTCGTGTCAATGTAATAATTATGTTGACATATCATTATTGTCTAATGTTTCATAATGAACCATTTTTAGCCCAACTGTTTGAAAAACTAGTAAGGGCTATTTTAGTCACTTAAAATTGGTCATCTGTTCTTGTAAAACATTTCGTTTTGCATAATTATGTTTTGTGTGTAACTTCCTACCTCAGAATTCATTATGATTGTGTAACGGGGAACATAATCTAAACACATTTAACTTTAAACTAGATATTGATTTATATAATTACATGTATGCCACTTAGTTAACTTGATTTAAAGCAGTCATGTTTTAAATAATAATTTAAGTTTACAATATATTCTTATCAAATGAGCATAATAATGCTGAGTCATTTAAACAAATAACTTATAATCTTAGTTACAATTATTTTTAAAATGCTAAAACATGTAACTTTTGTTCGACCATGTTACCAATAGTGTATCCACAGGTAGATGACGACAATAAATTTTAAAGAGTAGAAATTTGCGACTTCCGTGTGTCTGCTTCTCGATGTTGTGATCTCAGTTACTTCCCCTGACGTTCAGTGTCGAGGTAAGATATTTCATTTGGAAGAAATACAAATTTTAGCTAAACATAAAACAATACATTTTACAGGTAAGGGTTTGTGAGTAATTTGTGCCCATCTTCAAATCTGGACAAAACCATAACTCATTTTAAGGGATAATTTCAAAATATGTACTGACTCAATATCGAATAGTGCAGATCATGAGCAGATGTCAAGGATATACCGACTGATTTTGGTCTGCACTGGTCGAAATGATACATGTATATTATGCTGGCACTAGAAGGCTGAGAGTTTATCAACATATTGTACCACACAAAATAATCAGAAAGTACTGATTACAGTTCATTAATAATGACAACTTTTAATTTGGTACAATATTTGTATTTTGAAAGCATGTTAATTTCAGATGGAACATGACTTTTTGTAGTTATTGTTGCTTTTCTTGAAAAAAAAAATGAACTGAACATAATATGAAGAACTATTCTTTCCGAGATCACTCGCTTCCTTAAAGTATTACAATCTAAATACAAAGATATACATTCAATAACTCACGAATAGGTAAAAAATATCGGCACTATATTAGTGATTGTGCCGAAGGAAGGGAGATAATTATGAATGTATTACAAATAAGAGAGATAAAAATATATCTTATTATAAATATACTATACAATTATTTCTAATGCATAATGTGTATTTTGTAATGAACTGGTTACTTTGTTTGTGGCACTCCGATAACATCTTATTTTTTTTTCAATCTATAAAAAGATAATTTTTTAACCTATATTTCAGTTTCAGGATTTGAAATTATGAAAGAAGGAACGATATGAAATGAGCACCGGCAATCTGATCTTGGCATGTTACATCCTTATCACAGAACTGGAACCTACTGATTAAGATGAGGTAATAGTAGGTTTTATGAATATATGTATATATTTGTTTCTTAGCCTGCTGAAAGCGAAAGTCATTATTCTTTGCCTCCAGAATAGAGCCAGGCCAGCCTGCACTTTTGTGCAGTTTGACCAGCCTCTTTACCGTTTGCTAACTTCCAATTTTCATTTTCATGTGATAATTAGTTATAATGATTTATAATGGGCTGTTCCTTAAATAAAATGTGGAAAAAGTCCATTTAATAATTTCCGCAGGTTAAAAGGCCAAAATATACAATAATAGCCATTACTGCGTTAGTCACGCAGTAGAAATATGGTAATAAGTACTGCGACTCCGGTCGTAAAAGGCATTTAGCACATACATATTTACTTGAATCTTAAATCTTTTTACTTCTCTTAAAATCTCAGTACACTTTCTTAAGTTTGTTTTTCTTGAAATATTTTTGGTTCATCTGGAGGCGTGCAGCTTTAAGGCTTGTTTATAGCTCTTGAATGAGACGTGTATTCATTTGGTCGCATTGTGAAAATTGTTTCATGTTAGGGTTTGATAAAATATTTTTTTCTTTGCTTAACACAGAAGTAGTTACCTTTGTTGGTGTTATTCAGTCATGAATTGCTTTGGCATAGTAAATACATGTACACCCACTGGTATCGAACATTTTTCTTCATTATTCAAATTTGATTAAACTTTTGTAAGTTTAATTTATAATAAAGGGCGTCCGTTACCGGGTGTTTGAATGAATTCATTGACTTCAAATCATTTTCATCCCCCTTTCTTTCACTTTTATGGGCAGCGACTTTGAATTCATGAATAGTTTCATGTGCAGAGATGATCCACAGAGGTAATCCACAGCTAGCTTAATTGGCAGAGAAAATGGGTGGTTCTACGTGTCTAAAATAATTTATAGGGCGCTATTTTGGACCTTATTCCACCAGTAAAGCTGAAAAATTACATCACCTTCTAAATTAGTGTATTGAATTTGGAACAGTCCATTTGAAGTTTATGGAATTTCAATAACAAAGTACAAATTTGAGAAGACGATAAAATATAGCCTGGGCACGGAGTGCACGGACCAATAGGTAAAGGGTAAAACCCAACCAGAATAATTGAACCATTGCAGTTAAGAATATACTAGAAATAAAAAAAGAATCGTTTAATGACATCAAGTCAATAAAAGCTTTATGACCACTATTTGAGTAAGACGTTTTTATTTGTTTGTTGTATTCCTGAATTCTATTATGTGTATTTTTGAATGAGAGTAATGATAACATTGTTTTTTTTTTAAATTTGGTGGTTCAATCCGTGTGTCTGCTGTGTCTTTTGAAACGCAAAGGTTACAAGTGATGTGAATATTTTATACATTATACAAGTTAAATGTTGATGCTGCACATCAAAGACGCCGCCAAATGATGTGAACAGTCAATCAGCATTGAAAATCGTTCTCTTTTACAGTTGAATATCCAAAGCACAAATCAATTTTTTGGCTCGACTATACTCAGTATACGGAGAGCTGTCCTACTCGCCCCGTCTTCAGATTAAAGTTTTGGTGCAGTAAAATATTTTTCACTATAACTTTTTCATTTCTTCAGGTATCAACTTCAAACTTCAAATGTATTTTCCTTATCACCAACCACATCTTATGTGACAAGGTTCATAACTCTGGCACCAATATTTTCAGATTTATCTCCCTTGAACTTAGAATTTTCCTTAAAATACTATTTTACTGTTTCTTCTTTATTTCTTGGGGGGTGTAAGACAGAGTTTTCTAGCACCGGTGTAAACGGTAGATAATCCTGTCTGAGATGCAAGAAAACTCTTTATCACACACCCGTGCCGATTTTGCGACTCCGTAAATATGGTATTGCACGGCCGTGCATATATTTTGACGTGACGTCATTAGCGTTATACAAACATAATGTAAATACGCGCTAAATGTTAGCGTTATACTATAGGCGCGTCAATGAAAAATGACTCTTATTTCACTTTAAACGGTCTTTATTTTGGGTATGTGATAAATAGAGGATATTGAATTCGTGTAAGTTCATTACTGAATTTATTGCACTCGTTGAATAAAATAATATTATGCTCGCCAGAGGCTCGCATAATATAATTTTATTCAACTCGTGCAATAAATTCAGTATTGAACTTACACTCATTCAATATCCTCTATGTCTTACACCCCCATGTAAGACAAGTCGCGTGCGATAAATGACGTCATTGACGCGCGCCTTTTATTAATGAATCGCGTTCTTAGAATGACGTCATTTTTCCTTACGAATGAAGTTGTATGTTCATACGCTACAATAAGAAAAAAGTGCGTAATGAGAATATCAGTTTTCATAATTTCTGTTCCGAAAATAATTGACATGTATTATGCAAGAAAAAGAATCAAACACTGGCTGTCGGTGCAGACGGGAATATCTAGCTCTCGGGTAACTGTTTAGCGGAAACTCGGCAGAGCCTCGTTACCACTGTAAACAGTTACCCTCCAGCTAGATATTCCGGTCTGTACCGGCAGCCGGTGTAAGATTCTTATATTCTCTTATATCTATTTGACGCCGCGCTGCGCTTGGCGTCTAATAAACTCTTTGTTCATTTTTTTCTGAAGAGTTATTTCTTGAAGAGTTATTTCTTAAACGGTTTGTTTGCTGGTTTTAAGGTGTGCAGCTTTTTAAAGGCCCATTATGCCCCCAAAACAGTTTTAATTTTTATTTCTGAAAAGCTTTTTATTTTTGGTGTCCTATTATAGTTTCAAAACAGATATTCAGAGGTCATTTATCTGAATAATCTTTTGCTTTTTGAAAACAGTTTTAGTGATTTAGTATTTTGTATGGAAGTTAAAATAGTGCATTGTTTACATTTTGTGACCTTTAAAACAAACATTTTCACATTCAGCCATACTTTATTTTGCTATTAAGCATCTAACATGCTTTAAAGCATTATTTGAACGTTATAATACTCATGTTTGTACTGCCTAATCATGTAGGAAAAAGATATTAATGTCTGAGGCATAATGTGCCTTTAAGGAAAAACAGTTGATTCTAAGTTGAATATAATTTTTACAATGCAAGTGTATCAGTGATTTTTACATTTCAGAAATACGGAACATGGTAAATTGTGCAGGTGAAGGAATGAAGAAAACACCACCCTCCTTACAGTCAGCAAAATAACTATGTTTGGAACTACTGCATGCCGTTACAACATATGTGACAAAGAGATTTTAATCCATCTGATACGATTTGGTATCTTTCTGAAAATATCATGTTCAACTTCTGAATGGCGTTTTTTTCTGCCAAGTTTAAAAAATATATTACCATGTAACTGTCTAATATTTATGGCAATTATGAAGTAATGAGTATTTGGCGTAGTAATAAAAACCATAAAAGGTGTTAGCTCGATTGGATTTTCTAAATGAGCTTGAAAAAATAACACCTTCATAAATGCCGTGATGTGAACAGAATATAAGGGATATTTTATTTGCTTTTTACATTGTACATCATCTATTTACCAACACACTGTACTGTCTTGTGATGGCAATAATGAGTATAATTGCAATAATGAATAATGCACTTTTTTGCAATGTATATTTCAAGTGGTGTAATAAGTAAAATTTGATCAGGAATGTACATTTATTAAGACTTAATATATATGCAAACATACTGTACCGTTAACATAATGGCAATAGTAAAATTGCAGAAATGAATGATGCGCATTTTTACAATGTATGTTTCAAGAAGTGTAATAAGTAACATTTAATAAAGACATACTAGGCCGTACAATGAGAAATAATGATATTTAACAACGTCATGATAGAAACATCCATTTGAAATTTCTTAAGATTTAAATAATAATAACACCACCGAGAATATCACCACTACCACAAAAAACAACATTAATGAAACATAATGAAAACTCCAACGATGAAATATTTCATCATTCAAAAACATGCAATGATGAAAAAATGAATTAAAATATTAAAATAATTGTAATAACGACCAGAAGAACAATAATGAAATAAAAGAATGAAATAACAATATGAATGAAATAAAATAAAAACAACAAAATGAAATAAAATAAACAATAATGAAATAAAATGAAAACAAAAATAATGAATGAAATCAGATAAAATAAAAACAATAAAAATAATAAATAAAAAAAAAATGAAAATAAAAACAAATTGAAATAAGGTAACAAGAAATGGAATGAAAGAATAATATTGTCACAAGTGACCATTTAGTTGTTTACCTATAACATACTTGATCTTAAAGTGACCAGCCTTTGCCACCAGTATGCAGCCAGGCCAACCTGCATGTCCGTTCAGATTGACCAGGCTCTAAACCGTTGGCTGACCAATTTCAAATTTGATTTTATTCAAGTTATATTCCCTAAATTGAGAATGAACGTATTCAGAAACGGAAGCTGGACAATATTATCAACCATATACATGATATAATATGTTCCTTTATATTTTGAAGTATCATTTGTTTATTTTTTTCTTTTAAATGCTTTAAATAAGGAGTCACAAAGGGTTACTTTATCATTTTCATTTCCAAGCATATCCTCGTGCGTTTCATCGCCGGATAGCCACTGATACCCACTGCCTAACAATTAATATTTATCTTGATTACATTTTAATCAACCGTGGGTATCCGACGATGCATGCGTTTATGCTTGGTTTTTTTTGTTGTTGATTTTTTTTATTGTTGTTGTTTACAATTTTTATATGATCTGACAAAAAGCTAAAAAAGGGGGTGGGGGCTAGCATCATTTAGCTTTTTTTGTTCGCTTTTGATACGTTATTCTATCAATTTTTCAACTTTACTTGCCTGTTTTAATTTTTTAAAGTTTTTTATTTATTTATTTATTCATTCATTTATGTATTCATTTATTTATTGTTTTGCAAATTACATCAAGCGAAAAGGGAGGCTACTTGTTTTGAAATACATATTCAGGGGAGATCAATTAAAATTCAAATGATAAGAACGGACCAAAGGAGACCTATTTTCATTAAAACAAGTATTTTTAATGATAAAAAAGTCATTTTCCCGTCAGTTTACACTCCATTACCACGTGTTATTTTTTTCTAACTGATAACTCTCACACATCTTCGGTACTAACATAAACTTTTGGGGGAAATGACTTTCATAATGCTACTGTAAAACTTCCAACAAACATCAATCAAAAGTAATAACATTTGGTTGTGAAAATTTAGCCGCAAAAGGCATAATGTTTAATTATCAATAGGGAGAGTAGTCGCTCTTTGGTCTTTGACGTCATTTCAATTTTCAGGGGAGGTTACACCGTTACTTAATTATTTACAATCTCCACACAGTGATCTCCCCTTAATTCTTCGGCGTAGATCTCTGCCACCAAGGTCCCGATATATCAGAATTTCTGATATACTATATTTTTTCAAAAATTGTTTTATCTACTGCTTTTATCTATCAGTTAAGTTTTCTCTCATTTATTTAACAATGTTTATGAATAAATAAATAAATAATATGAATATTTAGAAATAATTTCAAAAATTATGAGATTATTTTCTTCCGAGACGATACTTTGATATTTGATATTTTTTAGCTTTTTAATTTATTTTTCGTTATTTTGTATACTTCCGATAATTTTTTGATAAACTATATCGAACGTAGGCACCAAAAGTTAAAAATAAAACAGAAAGAGAAAAATACCGTTAGATTTTCTTTGTAACGGTCGATATTTACATTTGAATTTCGACGTTACGTCATGTGACTTTCATCATCATGTGACGTCTTTGAAGGCAGTGATTACAATTCTGCCAAGGGAGGTAATCACTGTGAGGAGTTTGAATTATTTAAGGCAAGAGTGGTCTCCCTTTGATCATACTTGCTTTTACAAATTATTCTGCAATATTGAATTTACCATCAACATGATCAAAAACAATTTAAAGGAACACACTATAGTCAAAATTGGATTCTTTTTTTACAAGTATACAGAACTTGAAATATTTCAACCAATTTTAGGATAGATTTAATGGTTAATGCTTTTCACTTAGTACATATAAAAATATGAAAATACTATAGACCTAGTATCTTTACTTATAGAATTACGATTTTTTAAGTATTATTTAAAATAGTTGCCTATAATTTGTGTCACGGGTAAACAGAAGATTATCTTGTATCTTGGAAACTTCTTTGCGTTTGTTAATATTTCTTTAAACAGATTTTAAAAATCGATTTCAGTTCTGGACAATATTTAAAATATCTCAACATCCTTAAAATTCTAAATAATTCTAACGATGTCCTTTCATAGTTTGAAACATTAATATATTTGTTAATATTTGGGAAAAAATTGAAATTAATTTGTGTCGTGGGAACTGCTTTACTATCTTAACGTACATAAATGAAAAAAAAGCTTAGTTTTAATGAAGACCACTACTTGAAATAATTTAACTTGTGTCTGGAAAATCACTTGAAATATCTTAACTTAGTTTGAGCCTTGAACAAAACTTAAAATACCTTAACATAAGTTGAGTTATGAAGAATAATTGAAATATCTTAACTTAATTGTGTCTTGAACAATAATTAAAATGTCCTAACACAGTTTGAGTTTTGAACAATACTTGAAATATCTTAACTTAGTTAGAGTCTGGAACAATAATTGAAATATCTAAAATTAGATTAAGTCTGGAAAAAATACTTGAAATATTTTATCTAAGCTTGAGTCTTGAACAATACTTGAAATATCTTAACTTAGTTTGAGTCTGGAACATTACTTGAAATATGTTGACTTAGTTTGAGTCTGAATCAATATTTGAAATACTTAACTTAGCTTGTGTCTGGAACAACACTTGAATTATCTTAACTTACTTTGAGTTTTAAAGAATACATGAAATACCATAACTTTACTTAGTTTGAGTTTGGAACAATACATGAAGTATCTTAACTTAGTTTGAGTCTGGAACAATACTTGAAATATCTTGACTGAGTTTGAGTCTGAATCAATATTTGAAATATTTTAACTTAGCTTGTGTCTGGAACAACATTTGAACTATCTTAACTTATTTGAGTCTTAAAAAATACATGAAATATCATAACTTTACTTAGCTTGAGTCTGGAACAATACTTGAAATATCTTAACTCAGTTTGAGTCTGGAACAATACTTGAAATATCTTAACTTAGTTTGAGTCTTGAACAAAACTTGAAATGTGTTAACTAAGTTTGAGTCTTGAAGAATACTTGAAGCATCTTAACTGAGTTTGAGTCTGGAACATTACTTGAAATATGTTGACTTAGTTTGAGTCTGAATCAATATTTGAAATACTTAACTTAGCTTGTGTCTGGAACAACACTTGAACTATCTTAACTTACTTTTAGTCATAAAGAATACATGAAATACCATAACTTTACTGAGTTTGAGTCTGGAACAATACTTGAAATATCTTAACTTAGTTTGAGTCTGGAACAATACATGAAGTATCTTAACTTAGTTTGAGTCTGGAACAATACTTGAAATATCTTAACTTAGTTTGAGTTTGGAACAATACATGAAGTATCTTAACTTAGTTTGAGTCTGGAACAATACTTGAAATATCTTGACTTAGTTTGAGTCTGAATCAATATTTGAAATATTTTAACTTAGCTTGTGTCTGGAACAACACTTGAACTATCTTAACTTTCTTTGAGTCCTCAAGAATACATGAAATATCATAACTTTACTTAGTTTGAGTCTGGAACAATACTTGAAATATCTTAACTTAGTTTGAGTCTGGATCAATACTTGAAATATCTTAACTTAGTTTGAGTCTGTAACAATACTTGAAATATCTTAATTAAGTTTGAGTCTGGGACATCACTTGGAATTTCTTAACTTAGCTTGTATCTGGTACAATACTTGAAATATCTAAACTTAGTTTGAGTCTGGAACAATACATGAAATATCTTAACTTAGTTTGAGTCTTGAAGAATACTTGAAATGTGTTAACTAAGTTTGAGTCTTGAAGAATACTTGAAACATCTTAACTGAGTTTGAGTCTGGGACAACACTTGAAATATTTTAACAAAGTTTGAGTCTGGAACAACATTTGAACTTTCTGAACTTAGCTTGTGTCTGGAACAACCCTTGAAATATCTTTACCTTATTTGAGTCTTAACTTAGTTTAAGTGTGGAATAATAATTGAAATATCTAAACTTAGTTTGAGTCTAGAACAACACTTGAAATATCTTAACTAAGTTTAAGTCTTGAAGAATACTTGAAACATCTAAACTGAGTTGGAGTCTGCGACAACACTTGAAATATCTTAACTTAGCTTGTGTCTGGAACAACACTTGAAATATCTTTACTTAATTAGAGTCTTAACTAAGTTTGAGTCGGGAATAATAATTGAAATATCTAAACTTAGTTTGAGTATGGAACAACACTAGAAATATCTTAACTTAGTCTGAGTCTTGACGAATACTTGAAACATCTTAACTTAGTTTGAGTCTTAAAGAATACTGGAAATATCATAACTTTACTAAGTTTGAGTTTGGAACAATAATTTAAATATCTTAGTTTGAGTCTGGAACCATACTTGAAATATCTTCACTTAGTTTGGGTCTTGAAGAATACCTGAAACATCTTAACTTAGTTTGAGTCTAGTAAATAATTTAAATATCTTAGTCTGGGACAATACTTGAAACAGCTAAACTTAGTTTTAGTCTGGAACAATACTTGGAATATCTTACCCTAGTTTGAGTCTGGAACCACACTTGAAATATCTTAACTTGGTTTGAGTCTTGAAGAATACTTGAAACATCTTAACTTAGTTTGAGTCTTAGGGAATACTTGAAATATCATAACTTTACTTAGTTTGATTTTTGAACAATAATTTAAATAACTTAGTTTGAGTCTGGAAATGTCTTTATTTATATTATTGGAAAGTTTAGAGATAAATATTTATAATTTATATTAATAATTTATATATCTTAGTTTGAGTCTGGAACAAGATTTGAAATATCTAAAATTAGTTTGTCTCTAGAACAATAATTGAAATATCATAACTTAGTTTGAGTCTGGAACAATACTTGAAATATCTTTACTTAAATATTTTATCATGCAACAGTTTTGTCTTTTATGCAGTTGATTGATATCATTGATTTTGTTAATAAAAACAATTACAAGTATTTTTGTATGCAAATTATTTTGAAAAACGATGAGATAGTACTGGAATTAAAAAGGGTTTTTCTGAACGTGTTAAGTTATCTTTCCCCAATCTTTATTAATAAGATACTTATCTAATATTTGTAAGATAGAGTAACCTCCCCCGAAAAATACAAATTGTGTTAGGGGCCGGTAAACACACTTATCCTTCATTATTAAGTCTATCTGATAGTGTAACCTATAACCCATTATTAAGATAGAGTAACCTCCCCTGAAGAAAGGGAAATCACTCTAACCTTTCATTATTAATGCAGAAAGAGTAACCTCTCCAGAAGAAAACAAAGGGAAATCACTCCAACTTTAAATTATTAATCCAGATAAAGTAACCTCCCCTGAAGAAAACAAGGGAAATCACTCTAACCTTTCATGATTAAGTCAGAGTAACCTCCCCTAAAGAAAACAAAGGGAAATCACTCTTACCTTAAATAATTAATCCAGATAGAGTAACCTCCCCTGAAGAAAAATGGGAAATCACTCTAACCTTTTCATTTTTAAGTCAGATAGAGTAACCTCCCCTGAAGAAAACATGGGAAATCACTCTTACCTTAAATAATTAAGTCAGATAGAGTTACCTCCCCTGAACAACACAAAGGGAAATCACTCCAACCTTTCATTGCTAATCCAGAAAGAGTAACCTCCCCTGAAGAAAACAAAGGGAAATCACTCTAACCTTTTCATTATTAAGTCAGATAGAGTAACCTCCCATGAAGATAACAAAGGGAAATCACTCTAACCTTTCATTATTAAGCCAGATAGAGTAACCTCCCATGAGGAAAACAAAGGGAAATCACTCTAACCTTTCATTTATAAGCCAGATAGAGTTACCTCCTCAGAGGAAAACAAAGGGAAAGCACTGTAACAACTCTAACTTTTCATAAATAAGCCAGATAGAGTAACCTCCCCTGAAGAAAACAAGGGAAATCACTCTAACCTTTCATGATTAAGTCAGATAGAGTTACCTCCCCTGAAGAACACAAAGGGAAATCACTCCACACCTTTCATTATTAAGTCAGATAGAGTTACCTTCCATGAAGATAACAAAGGGAAATCACTCTAACCTTTAATTAATAAGCCAGATAGAGTAACCTCCCCTGAAGAAAACAAAGGGAAGTCACTCTAACCTTTCATAATTAAGCCAGATAGAGTAACCTCCCATAAGGAAAACAAAGGGAAATCACTCTGACGTGTCAATATTAAGTCAGAGTAACATCCCCTGAAGAAAACAAAGGGAAATCACTCTTACCTTTCATTAATATACCAGATAGAGTAACCTCCCCTGAAGAAAACAAAGGGAAATCACTCTAACCTTTCATTGTTAATCCATATAGAGTAACCTCCCCTGAAAAAAAGGGAAGTCACTCTAACCTTTCATTATTAAGTCATATAGAGTAACCTCCCATGAAGATTGTGAGGGAAGTCACTCTAGCCTTTCATTATTAAATCAGACAGAGTAACCTCCCCTGAAGAAAAGAAAGGAAAATCCACTATAACCAAATTCGGTTATTAAGTCAGAAGAGTAACCTCCCGTTTAAGGAAACAAGGAAAGTCATCGTCACTTAAAATTATTACCAGATAGAGTAACCGTACCACATGAAGAAAACAGGAAATCACGCCTAACCTGTTCATGATTTAATCAGAGGTTACCTTCCCCTAAGAGAAAACACGAGGAAATACTTCAACCTTAAATTATAGCCAATAGAGTAACCACTCCTGAAAATACAAAGGAAGATGCACTCTTACCTTTCATACATGAAGCCAATAGGAGTAAGTCTCCCGCTGACAAGAGAACAAGGAAATCACTCTAATTCTAAATTATTATCAGATTTAAAGTAGAGATCCCATGAAAAAACAAAGGTGAGAATCACTCTAAACCTTTCATTACAAATCCAGATAGAGTAGCCTCCCCTGAAGAAAACAAGGGGAACTCACTATAAGCTTTCATTATTAAGCCAGATAGAGTAACCTCCCCTGAAGGAAAGAAAGGGAAATTAATTTTACCTCATATTTTCCAGATAGAGTAACCTCCCCTGAAGAAAACAAAGGGAAATAACTCCTACTTTTTATTTTTAATTCAGATACAGTATCCTCCCCTGAAAATTGCAAATGGTGTAAGAAACTAAAATGAAAATCACTCTAACCTTTCATTACAAAATCAAATAGAGTAACTTCCCCTGTAAATTGCAAATGGCGTAAGAAACCAAAGGGAAATCACTCTTACTTTTCATTATTAAGTCAGATAGAGTAACCTGCCCTGAAACTTGCAAATGGCTCAAGAAACCAAAGGGAAATCACTCTTATCTTTCATATTTAATCCAGATAGAGTAACCTCCCCTGAAGAAAACGAAGGGAAATCACTCTAACCATTCATAATTAAGTCAGAAAGAGTAACCTCCCCTGAAAATTGCAAATCGCGTTGGCGGCGAAAGGGAAACCACTGTTGCCTTTCATTATTATGTCAGATAGAGTAAGCTTCCCTAAAAATTGCAAATGGCGTAATAATCCAAAGGGAAATCACTCTTACATTCATTATTGAGTCAGATAGAGTATCCTTCCCTGAAAATTGCAAATGGCGTAAGAAACAAAAGGGAAATCACTCTAACCTTTCATAATTAATTCAGATAGAGTATCATCCACTGACAATTACAAATGGCGTTGGGATTCAAAGGGAAACCACTCTTACCTTCATTATTAGGTCAGATAGAGTAACCTCCCCTGGCAATTACAAAGGGCATAAGAATCCAATGGAAATCGCTCATACCTTTCATTATTTAGTCAGAGTAACCACTCCTGAAAATTACAAATGGCGTAATGGGCAAAAGGGAAATCTCTCTAACCATTCATAATTAATTCAGATAGAGTAACCTCCCCTGAAATTTACAAATGACGTTTGGGCCAAAGGGAAACCACTATTACCTTCCATTGTTAAATCAGATTGAGTAACCTCTCCTGAAAATTATAAATGGCGTTAGGTGTCGAAGGGAAACTACTCTTACCTTTCATTAGTCAGATAGAGTAACCTTCCCGGAAAGTTGCAAATGGCGTAAGAAACCAAAGGGAAATCACTTTCATCTTTAATCCAGATAGAGTCACCTCACCTGAAGAAATTAAAGGGAAATCACTTTAACCTTTCATAATTAAGTCAGATAGAGAACCTCCCCTGAAGAAAACAAAGGGAAATCACTCTCACCTTAAATTATTAATCCAGATAGAGTAACTTCCCCTGAAGAAAACAAATGGAAAAAACTCTAACCTTGCATTATTAATCCAGATAGAGTATTCTCCCCTAAATAAAACAAAGGGAAATCACTATAATCTTTCATTATTAATCCAGATAGAGT